AATTGAAATCAACAGGATCAATATCAGAAACTAAAGAAAATGAAAAAGGAAGCATTTCCAGGAAGGTTTTAAAATACAAAAAGTTGGTCTTGAAAAAATAAACAAAATTGACACACCCTATTTAGCTAAGCCTTAACGAAAAGCAGAAAAGAGGAAATCTCCTAAATAACTCCAATCAGAACAAGAAGAGAAATCACAACTGATCCCAAAGAGATTCCAAAACAATTTATGAATATACAAAAATCTTAGCCATCCAAACTGAAAATGTGAGAAATGGACAAATTCAGAAACACATAATCCCTCGCCTAGGCTCAACCCAGAAGAAATAGATTCCCTGAACCAGACCAATCTCCAAACACTGAAATAGGAAAACACAGCAAATCCTCCCTAAAAGAAAGTCTCGTCCAGAAGGACTGTCACACCTGAACTTCTACATACTTTACAAAGAAGACAGTACATCTTTGCCGGCAGAAAACTATTCACAAATCGAGAAACGAAACCCCCTCCCCGACACCCTTTATGACGAATATACTCGATACCAAAACCCAGGAAAGGTGAAACAAAAAAAAAAACACAGACAATATCCCTAAAGAATAAAGGAGGCAAATTCCTCAAACAAGATTTAGCTAACCCGAATCCCGAACACTTTCAAAAAAATAATTCACCACGGACCAAGTGGCCCCTCCATCCCAGATGCCCCAGGACTGTCAACATACGTAAATCTAAAATCAATCACCACATTCAACAAAGCAAAAAACAAAAGACCAACATATTCTTCAATGAGTGCAGAAAGCTTTGACAAATCCAACACCCTTTCAATGATACCGTAACACTTAAGAAAATAGCGTAGAGGGACTACCTAGAAAATGATACAAGCCATATACGACGACCAATAACCCAACATCATATACTGAAATGGGGAAAAATTGAAATCATTCCCACTAGGAATGTGAACCAGACAAGTCGCCCCACAATATCTCCACTTTTGTTCAACATATATCTGGAAAGTCTGGCTACAGCAATCAGACAGGAAAAAGGAATCAAAGGGCTCCAAAGGGGCATAAGAGATCAAAACCTTCAACTGTTTGCTGATGATATGATAATTGTATCTATAAAACCCCAAGGATCCAACCAAGAAACTCCCTGGAACTGAATCAATGAATTTATAAGTCTCAGGATAGCAAACAATACACAGAAATCAAGAGCATTCATCATACGCCAAACAACAATCAATTGGAACCAAATCAAAGACCTCAATTCCCTCACATACAACAAAGAAAAAGTACCAGGGAATTATACTTAACCAAGACCTAAAAGACCTCTCACGGGAGAACATGAAACACTGAGAAGGGAAATACGAGGATGTTGAGAACAGATGAAATCCCAAACCATGCTCGTGGATCGGCAGACTCAATACATTCAAATGTCATACTACCCAAGACTGTCTACAGATTCACTGCAATAACTATAAATCCCAACATTCTTCACAGATATATGAAAAAAATTTTACCTTCGTATGAACCAAAGAAGACCCCCGAATATCCAATGGCAATTCTAGGCACAAAAACAAAAGGGAGCCATTAATATGCCATATCAACTATATACAAAGCTGCAGTAATTAACAATATGGTATGGCACAAAAACAGGAATATTGACCAGTGAGACAGATGTGAGTAACCTGATAAAACCATCCTCAGTATAGCCATCATCTTTGACAAAGCAGACAAAACATACGCTGGGGAAAAGAATCCTTTTAATAAATGGTGCTGGGAACGGATAGCCCACCTGTTAGAAGCTAAAACAGGAACCCATACTTTCAACCTCTCACAAAAACAACTCAACTCTGATAACACTTAAACCAAGGTAGGAATACTATTAGAACTCTTAGAGGAAAGGTTGGAAACACTCTCTAGAACATCGGCCATGGGCAAAGTTTTATGAAGAGTCCCCCAATAGGCAATCACAGCAGCAACAAAATAAATAAATGGGACATATCAAAACTACAAACGGTCTGCACAGCCAAAGAATATTGAAGTAAAACAGACAACCTACCAGAATGGTGGAGAAAAGTTTGCATCCTATGATCCGATAACGGACTGATAAGAGAATATACTTAGACACTCAAGAAATCAGGAAAAGAAAATCAAATAACTCCATTAAAAAGTGGCAAAGACTTGAACAGAAATTTTCTAAGAAACAGAAATATGGCCAAACAAACATATGAGGAAAATCTCGACATCTCTAATCATCAGGGAAAGCAAATCAAAACCACAAATGAGATATCACCTTAATCCCCCAGTTGAAGAAGCTTTATCATAAAAATCTCCAAACGCACACCAATCTAGGGAATGTCTT